CCGGGGCGTGTGCGCTCGGTATTGAGTGTCTGCTGCTTTCCGTCCCTACACTACACACTGAGGAGACACAGAGGACATGCACAAACAAACACAAACTGAAAAGGATCAGAAATCTCTTTGATACAAGTCACTCTTGATACGACACACTCTTTGATACAAGTGTCAAAAAAAAAAAAAGAAAAGGCCCAACCACCTTTTCAATAATAAACGCGCGCGCACACACACACACACACACACACACACACACACACGTTAGGGGCTCTTACTGCCGATATACACAGAGGATCACGCTCGAATCCCACCACTAGGTGCTGCCAGAGACCTACTCTAAATCCTCATCAATCCAAAAAAAAGAATTATCGTATTTAAAACACTACAAGGAAAAGCTCAGTCTATAGTCTATACTTATATACATACAAAAAACTGGAAATAACTAAGATTATGTAGATAGCATATATTAAATATATAGTATAACAAGGTTATTACTAGGGCTACACAATTAATCAGATTTTAACTGTCATTGCAACTTTTGAGCTCAACGCTACTTAATTCAACGTAAGAGAAATTACTAATAACAGTCTAAAGTAACTCTAACAACAGACTAAAGTTAGATCATTCACTACATCACATACATTAAATGTAATCTTTTTTATTGACTATTAATACTAATACTAATAATTTTAATATTAAATACTTTGCTCTGCATGTTTAATTGTATGATGTTGCAATTTATCAATTGATAATATATTGATTTTGTCTATATACAGAACAGGCTTTTAATTTTCAGTCTTATCTTGTTTGATCTTGCAACATATGAGATAGAATTTCTTAAAGAATTGTTAGTTAGTACTATTTTTGAAGAATTTGAAAAGCATCCACCGGCTTAAAAACAGTGATTTTTAAACAACTTGTGGGTTTTTTTTTTTTCTACATAAGGTTTCTCGATGCCATCCTTCATGGCAATTAACAAAGATTCACAGCAAACAGTTTTAAATGATTTAAATTCCTAAAAGGAAATCTAAGGTCCATCATTAAATTAAGTCCTGAAGCGTTACAGCCTTGGAAAATTCACTTGTTTCAGCTTGAGGTACTTGGTAATTAGATGGTTTGAGTCATGTATGGCAGAGCTGTGCTGACAAAAGCTGAGGCATGTTCTATTTCAACATCAAGAACTTCTACATCAGAAAACCTCAAACATGAACACTCAGCATGACAGGAATAGTCTTTGCCATGCTAGCTGTGTGCTATTTCTTGTTATGGCTAATATTATCTCTTGTAGTTCCTTTTTTCAACCGGAATGGAAGTAAATAAATGAAGGCAGGTCGGGTGTTAGGTTACCATGCCTCTTCCCAGCAGTAGCGGGTGTGTGAGGTCTCAGCTAGCGGACTGGAAAAACAAACTACGAGGTCAAAACAACCAAAATGCATCTGTGGTTTGCTGATGCTAAGACAAGGATATACAGATAAGTAAAGAGATATACAAGGCGGACAAACGTTCAGACAGGCACCTGCTCATAGGGACATATGCAAACAGACACAAAGATCAAGGTACACAAGTCAAACAGGTTGTGTGATGTCTCAGGTGGAAATCAATGGCCATCTAATGCAGCTAAACTCAGACTGAGGAACCATTTTATAGCACTCTGTCAGCCATGATCAGAGCCCACACTGAGAGACAGGCACAGCTATCGATCTCTCTGCACCATGCAGACACACACTCAAACATCAAGCATCTTTCACTAGCCAAATCATTCTTTTGAACTCAACTCGACCTTTATTGCTTCAGTTTGAGAAGTGCTGCTGAGGTACCCCGTGGAGGCTCTACAGTCCCTGACAAAAGTCTTGTCGCTTGTGTACAAATTGACCTGAAGTGCAGCTGAAATATATTTCTAATCAAGATTTTTTTACAAGAAATGGCTCATTTTAATCCCCACAGCTTTTATAATAATGTTTCAGTGCAAAACGAAGCTTGTCAAAAGTATTCTAATATTCACAGCTTGGTAAAGCCCATTGAGTCAAT